AACCATGTTTGGAGATGCAGCTTAACTTGATCACAAACAGAACTATTATTGCCAGATAAAATTATATCGTCAACATAAATTAAGATTGCAACGAAATCATTATTGTGACGAAAAGTGAACAACGTGTAATCAGCCTTGGATTGCTGAAAACCGAAACTAAGAAGAGAAGCACGAAGCTTAGCAAACCAGTTGCGTGGGGACTGTTTGAGACCGTAGAGAGACCTTTGTAGCTTGCATGCCATTCCTGGAGATCCTTGAGAAAAACCTGGTGGAAAACGCATATACACTTCCTCCTCGAGATCTCCATGGAGGAATGCATTTTGAACATCTAGTTGATAAATATGCCATCCTTTGGCAACAGCAACGGAAAGAAAGGTACGGACGCTGACCATCTTAGCAACCGGAGCGAAAGTTTCATTGTAATCTTCGCCTTCGATTTGATTGTTGCCAGCGATGACCAATCTTGCTTTATATCGCTCAATAGAGCCATCAGAATTAAATTTGATGCGAAAAACCCATTTGCAAGGGATAGCCTTTTTGCCTGGTGGGAGAGAAGTGACAACCCATGTGTGATTATCTTCTAGCGCTTGAATTTCAAGTTGCATAGCCTGTTTCCAATTTGTATTCTTCATAGCTTCTTTGAATGAACGTGGTTCCAAAGCATTACTAACAGCAGCCAAAAAATGTTGATGCTGGGAAGAAAATATAAAATTAGTAACAAACTTTTGTATAGGATAGGAAATACCTGAGGGGGCGTTGGAGAGAGTGTTGGTAGAAGGGGGTATAGTAGTGTTATGACATTGATAATCTTGAAGGTAGGCAGGTGGTCGATGATTCCTTCTAGTCCGAAGAAGAGGTGCAGACGTTGAGGTTGCTGGGACTGTAGCTGCAGTTTCAGATGAAGAAACTGGTGGAGAAACGACAGCCGAAGGACTCCCCCTGTCTGTGGGCACCGTGTCAGGTTGAGGAGCATCATCAGAAGAAGCAACGAGCAGTGGTGTGTCATGAGTACATGAGTCATACAAAAATGCAGGTGGAGAGATGGTTGGTGTGATGACCGGTGAAGGATCATGATCAGCGAAAGCAAATGGAATACTATCTTCAAAAAATTGTACATCACGAGAAATAAATGTTTCCTTTGTATCCAAATCGAAAACTCTCCAACCTTTTTTGTTCGAAGGATAGCCAATAAAAACACACTTACGAGAACGGGCAGCAAATTTATCAGATGGTTTGGGCAAAACCGTAGCATAGCAAAGACAACCAAGTAACCGAATATGATCATAGGTTGGTGGTACGTTGTGCAGAACTTCAAAAGGGCACTTTCCTTTGAGTAAGGTAGTTGGAATCCTATTAATCAGATGGGCAGCAGCAAGGATACATTCTCCCCAAAAAGAAAGAGGAAGATGGCCATCAAAGCGTAGAGCACGTGCCACATTGAGAATATGACGATGACGTCGTTCAACCCGACCATTCTGTTGGGGCGTGTATGGGCATGAAAATTGATGAAGAATACCACGGTTTGCGAAAAAGGAACTCAAAGGATAAGAGATAAATTCAGTGCCATTATCAGATTGAACATTCTTAACTGTGAAGTTGTATTGTGTTTGCACCATTTTAATAAAATTAATTAACGTAGAACAAACTTCATGTTTGTCACGAAGGAGATAAATCCATACAAAACGGCTACAATCATCCACAATCGTAAGAAAATAACGTGCACCTGAAGATGAAACAGTGCGATATGGTCCCCATAAATCACAATGAATTAAATCAAAAGGTTGAAGACTATGCTTTTTATTGATATTAAACGGAGTACGAGTTTGTTTGGCTCTACAACACACATCACATGGAGCCATTTTATTGGAACCAGAAACAAAAGGAAGCAAATAAAGATAATGCTGTGAAGGATGTCCCAAGCGTCGATGCCACAGAGTAGATGAAGTTCCACCAGAGACCTTATTTGCAGAAAAGGCTTGATGAAACACATACACCCCTTCATGTTCAACACCCTTGCCAATCGTCCTCCTCGTCTGTAGGTCCTGTAGAAAACAATTGGAATCAGTGAATAAAGCGATGCAATTGCTGCAGTGTATTAACTGAGAGATAGAAATTAAATTGCATGTAAGGGATGGCACATAAAGAACGTTGGTAAGAAGCAACGTAGATGTGAGTTGCACATCCCCACATTGGACCGCAGCGGTACGGGTTCCATTGGGTAAACCGACTGAGCACGGAGGAATAACTCGGATATTAGTGAGGAAGGAGAGTGTGCCAGTCATATGTTGTGAAGCCCCACTGTCCAGAAGCCAAGGATGTGGGAAGGAAACAATACCTGATAATTTGTCAGTTGTTGCTTTAGATGAGACAGCAAGAGACATTAATTGTTGAACCATATCAGGAGTAAGATCAGTAGCAGACAATGGTTTTGGGACACCAGTAGGAGGAGGTAATGCATCCGAGTAAGTGGCATGAGCAGAAGCATGGGCAGAACGTCCTGGGTTGGAGCGGCCGCGACCACGTCCTCTTCCAGCAGTCATGCGATCAGGGTAACCATGAAGTTTGTAACACCGGGAAGCGTCATGATTGGGACGTCCACAGTGGGAACATATGATGCGGGCCTTGGAAGGATCCAGTGGTGCAGTGTGAAGAGCACAGCCGAGAGCATCAGATGGAATTTCAGCAATCCGAACCATAGCCTTATGGGATTCTTCTTGAATTACCATAGCAAAAACACGATTGATAGTGGGGAGAGGATTGCTGTTGAGAATTTGAGTAATGAGAGTACCATATATATGATGATCAAGTCCGATAAGGAATTGATAAACTCGATCATGTTCGAGTTCAGCAGTGACAGATTTGGTAAAGGCACACGTATCACCAGATGCACATGCAGTAAGCTTGCGGCTTGATTCCAGTTCATCCCAAATTGAACGAAGTTTAGTGTAATAGTCAGTAACAGGGACGCCATTTTGCTTCATAGTGGCGAGAGCAGATTTGAGAAAAAAAATACGAGGAATGTTTGCAACAGCAAAACGTTCCTTTAGATCATCCCATAGATTCTTCGCAGTGTCGAAACATTTGATGAATGGCTGCATCTGAGGATCGATGGTATTGTGAATCCAGCTATTAATCATGGAGTTGCACAGGGACCAAGCATGAGCTTCATCAGAGGAAGCATCAGAGGGTTGCGTAACGCTGTTATCAACAAAGCCAAGCTTATTTTTGGCTTTCAAGGCGTTGCTCATGAGTTTGGACCAGTTTTCATAATTGGATTAGCCACGTAGAAGGACAGTAGTGAGAATAACCCCAGGGTGATCAGAGGGATGAAGGTAAAATGGTGATTTTGGGTCTGTGATTTTAAGAGTGGAGGCAGCCATAGTGGGAAAAAAAAACTGACTTTAGAATCGTCTAGCTCTTGATACCATAAAGGAAGTTGTGAGTGAACAGCTTAGCTTTCTATTCATGTATTGGTCATTTAAATACATCTATCAGCAACTATAATACACATACGTAGGAATCTATTCCTAAGATAAAGGAAGAGTTGCAACTAAATTACAAACATAGAACAAACCTATCAACAACCTAAAACTAAATTACAAACATAGAACAAACCTATTAACAAACTAACAAACCAAGTAACAAACTAACAAGGGAATCCTATCGTAATAAAACATTAGCATGAAACTGTGGTAAAACGTCTTTAACATATTAAAAAAAGAAAATAAAAATAAAACAGAGCTCAGGTTAGGCTCACTAAAAAGAGTAACATAAGAGAACGGAGATGTTAATTTGTACAGAACTAGAGATAGAGAAGTCTCCATGATCTACGTGGATTTTAAGCCAGCGATTGGATCATGCCGAGAATCACGGTTCCTTTTGTATTCCCCCAAACACTGAAAAGAAAACAGGCATCTATATTACGTTAATTACATCACATTTGTAAGTGATCCTCTGCATCCCTACATCGGATTTGCATAAGATACTCTGAATTCCTGAAAGCAACCACGAGAAAAATCGGGTCCTCAAACGCATAAATGGGTCCACCTAGAGAAACAAAAGAAATAAAAAACAAATCGTACTCATCAGTGACCCTGTGGCCCACTCACCATTAGAAATTGCCGTGATCCCCACACTACCACATGCATACGTTAATTCCCACCGCCTCTTGTACATTCCGTTTAGTTTAGTTTAGTTATTTTTTTTAATCCTAAAATTATATAATTTAGATAAAGAGAAAGATCAGTTATTTCAAATGACGTAAAATTGTGTTATTTGAGAGAAAGAGATAGATAAAGAAAGAAAAAAAGTTGACAAAAAATAATGAAGGTACGAGTCTCACCTCTTTGTGAGAGTGAAATGATATAAATTGTGTTATTTAAAAGAAAAAGTGTTTGTCATTTTAAATGACAGAAAATTATGTCATACAGACACAGAAAATTTGAATTTTAAATTAAAAAAAATACCCACTTTCTTTCTCCCATGATTTCCGTTTTTTTGTGTCTATCTCTCTCCTAAAATGACATAACTTATATCATTTAAAATGACATAACTTATGTCATTTAAAATGACAAACACCAAACCTTTATTTAAAAGGACAAAATATAAAAAGGACAAGCTTTTCTTTAAATTAAAAAAAATCTCAATATAAGACTAAACATTTTATGAGACTAGAGAAAGCAAGTATAATTACTATAATTATACTTAAGGATTCTTAACTATATGAATTGTTAATTCACTTATAAATATCTTATATCTTATTCAATAATAATTTACATTCATAAAATGGATAACTTGGTGTTATAAAATTTCTATAAGGTGTAGGGTCCAAGAAAAAAATCAGACCTATTACTATTATGTGAGTTGTGGGCTGTAGCAACCTAACATTTACAAGAAGATTACTAATAAAATGTTAAATTCATAAATTAACGTGCAAACAATTTGGTTATTTATACACCATAGCTACCCTCACAGTATCAGTCCCCAGTGCATTACTGTATAGTGAGCTATGGTTTATCCTAACCATGTAGCTTCTCTATGTCTTTCTTCTCTTCTTCTAACTCTGGTTCTGTATGCAACTGGGGTGAGTTCTTCTTCAGCAAATGTTACCAAAATTGGCCAAGGCTATCGACTTATCTCCATTGAAGAGACCCCTGATGGTGGCCTTGTGGGGCTCCTTCAAGTTAAGCAGAAAACCAAAATCTATGGTCCTGATATTCCCCTTCTACGCTTCTATGCCAAGTAAGTCCAACCTTCCATCACTATGCACATTCATTTCCCCTTTTGAAAAGTCCCATATTTGTTCTTCTTTTTTGTGTGTTTCAATGAAAAAAGCTGATTTTTTTTTTTTAAAACCTTGTACATTTTTGTTGATTTTGAAGACATGAGACAGAGAACCGTTTGAGGGTACAAATAACAGATGCCAAGAAGCAAAGATGGGAGGTTCCCTACAACCTTTTACCAAGGGAGCAACCACCAGCTTTGACTCAAACCATTGGAAGGTTCAGGAAGAACCCTATATCAGTCTCTGAGTACTCTGGTTCTGAGTTTCTGTTCAGCTACACTTCAGACCCTTTTAGCTTTGCAGTGAAAAGGAAGTCAAATGGTGAGACCCTTTTCAACTCTAGCTCTGAAGATTCAGACCATTTTAGTTCACTGGTTTTCAAGGACCAGTACCTTGAGATTTCTACCAAATTGCCTAAAGATGCCTCTTTGTATGGTTTGGGAGAGAACACACAGCCACATGGGATCAAGTTATATCCAAGTGACCCTTACACTTTGTATACCACTGATATATCAGCCATTAATCTCAATGCTGATCTATATGGATCACACCCTGTGTACATGGATCTCAGAAATGCTGGTGGCATAGCTTCTGCACATGCTGTTCTGCTGCTTAATAGCAATGGAATGGATGTTTTCTACAAAGGAACCTCTCTAACATACAAGATTATTGGAGGTGTATTTGATTTTTACTTCTTTTCTGGGCCTACGCCTTTGAATGTTGTTGATCAGTATACTTCCTTAATTGGAAGACCTGCTCCAATGCCTTACTGGGCTTTTGGTATGATTCACTATCACTCTCTTATTTTATTATTGCTTAATCTACTTTGTATGCATAATATTAGTGATACTGATTTGGGTGTCATTCCCTTTTTGTGTTAAATGATATAGAATGAAGAATTATCAATTGTGAAAACTGGGGCTTACCAGATGCGACTACTTAATTGATAAAATATCCTTGCCTTAGTTAAATGGAAGTAAACTAATGTTTTCAAATCAGTGGTTATGTGAATTCAGTGACTTTCTTGATACATGATGAGATTATTTTCTTGGTGTGTTGCATAATGCATTTGAGATTTTTTATTTATTTTTTTACTTCAGCTTATCTGTATATTGTACGATGGGGATGTTCCGATTGTTTTATGAAGTTAGGTCTGCAAAGTTATTTTAAATCATGTCACTGTTTGTACGATTTGGATCCTGGCAAGGCCTTTTTAGATCTAGTGTTAGTTGTTCAGTAATTTAATACCTTTTAGGTCCACATGGAAAGATAAGATCACTCATAAAAGTTGGAAACTTAACTTTACCATATAAAATAAAGTCATCTTTTCTGCTAAACTCTTGAGTCAAGGAATTTGACCTTTGTCACATGCTTGTATAAAGGAATCCGTGGGTCCTTGTCAAGGACTATCATTGCATACACGTTGTCTATCACCGTCCGTTTTCCTAGTGAGAGAGGTCATATATTCATATTTGTATCGGATTATGTGGTTAATAATAGCAACAACCTTGGGGATGATTTTCATGTCATTTTAAGGAAAAGCTTCCTTTATTACAAAAGGGGTCAGTTGTGTTTGAGGGTAAAAACTGTGAAAAAATCATGAATTAGTTTTCAATAAGTATAATGCTTATAGCTCTGTATGGCCAGAAGTTGTACTAATCCAAGATGACCATTGCTACCTAATCTGTTCAATATTGTTATCTTGTCTGAAATAAGGTTGTCCTTGGGTTGAGGGGAGTCTACAATTCAGTTTGGATTATTACCGATGAACTAATCATGTCTTCTTGCTATAACTTATACTTGCTTCATTTACATGTTGCTACTTCACTTGTCAATTAAGTGAAAAGGGTGAGTAGCATCAGATCCTTATGCTTCCAGATGAAGTTGAAAATAATACCTGAATTTTTTCTAAAAGCCTTTTAACTTATCTTCATGCTCATTTGGTATTATAGGATTCCACCAATGCAGATGGGGATATCACAATCTATCAGTGGTAGAAGATGTTGTGGAGAATTACAAGAAGGCTCAAATCCCACTTGATGTGATCTGGAATGATGATGATCACATGGATGGGCACAAAGACTTTACACTCAATCCAATCAACTACCCTCGTCCTAAGCTTTTGAACTTCTTGGACAAGATACACAGCATTGGCATGAAATATATTGTCATTATTGACCCAGGAATTGGTGTTAATGCCAGCTATGGTGTGTATCAAAGGGGTATAGCTAATGATGTTTTTATCAAGTATGAAGGTGAACCTTACTTGGCTCAAGTTTGGCCAGGGGCAGTAAACTTTCCTGATTTTCTCAATCCAAAGACAGTTTCTTGGTGGGGTGATGAGGTCCGCCGCTTCCATGAACTTGTTCCAGTTGATGGCCTATGGATTGACATGAACGAAGCTTCCAATTTCTGTTCTGGAAAGTGCAAAATTCCCAAGGGAAAGCAGTGCCCAAGTGGAACAGGACCTGGATGGATATGTTGCTTGGATTGCAAGAACATTACCAAAACACGATGGGACGATCCCCCCTACAAGATAAATGCCTCAGGAATACAAGCTCCTATTGGTTACAAAACCATAGCCACTAGTGCAGTCCACTATAATGGCATTTTGGAGTATGATGCTCACAGTCTTTATGGTTTCTCTCAATCCATTGCAACTCACAAGGCCCTTCAAGGGCTTCAAGGCAAGAGGCCTTTTATTTTGTCCCGCTCCACTTATGTTGGTTCAGGCAAATATGCTGCGCATTGGACTGGTGACAATCAGGGCACATGGGAGAACTTGAGGTACTCAATATCCACAATGCTCAATTTTGGTATATTTGGCGTGCCAATGGTAGGTTCGGATATATGTGGATTCTATCCACAACCCACTGAAGAACTATGCAATAGATGGATTGAAGTAGGGGCTTTCTACCCTTTCTCAAGGGATCATGCAAACTACTACTCCCCTAGACAGGAGCTATACCAATGGGAATCAGTAGCTGAGTCTGCTAGAAATGCTTTGGGTTTAAGGTATAAGCTACTCCCACATCTTTACACCCTAAACTATGAGGCTCATGTTAGTGGAGCCCCAATTGCCAGACCTCTTTTCTTCTCATTTCCAACTTACACTGAATGTTATGGCCTTAGCACCCAGTTCTTGCTAGGAAGCAGTCTTATGATTTCTCCAGTGCTTGAGCAGGGAAAAACAGAAGTGAAAGCACTCTTTCCTCCTGGTTCTTGGTACAGTTTGCTTGATTTGACACAAACCATTACATCAAAGGATGGAATCTATGTTACCCTTGATGCCCCTCTGCATGTGGTCAATGTGCATTTATATCAAAATGCCATTCTTCCAATGCAGCAAGGTGGAATGATCTCTAAGGATGCTAGAATGACACCCTTCAGCCTCATTGTTACCTTCCCAGCAGGGGCAACCGAAGGAGAAGCTAAAGGGAACCTCTTCCTTGATGATGATGAACTGCCAGAGATGAACCTTGGAAATGGCTATTCAACCTATGTTGATTTTTATGCAAATGTCAAACAAGGAGCTGTGAAAATTTGGTCACAAGTCCAAGAAGGCAAGTTTGCATTAGATGAAGGTTTGGTTATTGAATCTATATCTGTGGTGGGATTACATGGAAGTGGAGCACTCTCTGCACTTGAGATAGATGGAAAACCACTAATGGGTGTTTCAAATGTGAAAGTTAGTACATCAGAACATGAGCACTTGGAAGGTCAGGTAATTGGAGAAAAGAAGACAGTGATGGTAGCTTTGAAGGGTTTGAACATCCCTGTGGGTAAAAACTTTGCTATGACATGGAGAATGGGATGATAGGGTTGAGATTGTCTCATCCTAGTTATGAGAATTGTAACTTTATCGTGTTCTTTTTCTCTTCTACAATTCTTGTAGGTGTTGTGAGGGAGAGGAGATGAGCTAGAATTATGGTCGTCCTTTTCCATTTTAACAATCCAATCCACAACATGGCTTATGGGTTGGAATTTGATTGTTAGTTTTTTTTAAGTACCTGAGTTGAAACTTATTGTTATTCAAGTGATTTAGAATTATGTCTTCCATGTCCTTGTTGGAATCCTACATCCTCGAATCTTCCCATAATAAATTAAACATATCTAGTATATAAATCTAGCCAAAACATATGTTGTTTTCCTTGTTTACTATATTTTTGTCTAAATATCTTATTTCATGGCTTCTTTGTCCTCGTTAAAATCGAGTTTTTATCTTAAATTATATGGGAGATAAAAAATTGTAAAATATAAAATTGTAATTTTTTTATTTATAAAAAATCATAAAAAAAAGTAAAAGTGCTTGTAATGTTGATAAAAATGTTATGATGAGAAAAAAATCGTAAAAACATAAAAAGAACAGTTTTAAAAGAAGTTTTTAACTACCATGCTTATTATACGATATATCTATCTGATTATCTTTATTATTTTTTGTGTTTTCAATTTTTGGTCCGTCATTTCATATGATTTATTTTCGATCGAGTGTTCATAGTACACATGTGGGCCAATTCTATATCTAAGCCCAACAATGAACATGGGCTCTTTGGGAATGTTTGGATTGTTTTTTTTTTTTAAGTAATTTTTTTAAATAAAAGTGTTTTTCATTTCATGTATATGATTGAATATAATTTTTGAAAAAATATAAAAAAATTGGCCAAAAAATGCAAAAATGTTGCTTTTTTGAGAAAGATTTTTGGCTTATGAAAAAGAGAGAGAGCAAAATATTGCTTTTTAATTAAAAAAAATGTTTTTAGACTAGTTCTTCTGACTTTTAAAAGTCCTTCTAAAAAATAATAAATATTAAAAAAAAAAACCTATCCAAATGGGTCCTTATTGTGCATAGGTAAATAGTTATATCTCAAGTAACTTATTGAAATGTAACCGTCACAACTAATATAAATAGGCAGAAACGAATGATTTATGGTATTATTGTGATGTATTTTTATTAAGATTTATGAAAATGTTACATTATTTTCAATTTGTTTCTTGTTTACTGGAATTTGAAAAGGATATGGTGAGGTTCGGTTTGGTTTGAGAAAACGTTTTCAACTTTCATTTTTTTGTGACACATACATATATACCTTCATCCTCGGAAAATCGTTGTCTTTGAAAATCTTTAACAAGATCAACCTAGTACCAATAATTGATTTACACCTGGAGTTGAAGGAATCGTTTTGAAATGAGAGCAGTGATATTGGAAAGCTAATATTCAGATCCACAATTCTTATGCAAGACCACTAAGTCAAACTGTGTTGTTTTGGAGGTTTATTGTTGTCGAAAGTTGAGGAACAAATCTTGGCGAGTTAGGTAGTTTGAGCCATAACTTGGGCTCCATAACTCAAAATTAAGTTGGATTTGTGCCCAATTAACAAGGGTATATAGATGTTTAAAGAGAGCAAGGCAGCCCCCTCATGAAAGACAACAAAAACCCTAGCCACATCCTGAATCCATTGACGCTCCCATCAGCCACCAATATTTTCTCTTGTAGCAAGGTTTCTTCTTAAGTTTGCTTTCATGAGTTTCCTTCTATGATTTTTTTTTTAGGTTTTTTTTTTTTTTTTAATTATTATTGTATTTGTATCGATTTTTTATTTTGTTATGTTCATAATTCATTTAGGTTGGGACTTTAGAATTTTAACTTGGGTTTATTTTTCATTGTGGGTATATATACTTTAAAGTTTTTAAATTTGGGTTTAAATTGTTGCGTTTGGATTAGAACTTTTGTTGGCAGCCCTGTAGGGTCAATGCCTATGCTTTTGGATTTTCAAGTCTATATTTGCTTTTGATTTATATTTTACAATTTTGGATTTGGATGCTTTGATTCTTGTAACTCTTGGTTTTTTTTTTTTTTTTTTTTATAACTCATCTTAATTATTTCTTTGAGGCAAATCATTTTCATGGTATTTTCATGATTTTGACTTTTTGAGCTCTATCAGACTAATTCAGAGTTCGGGACCGTGGTTTGAGATTATATTTTTACCCTTCCCAAATGAGATTTTAATCCACACCTTACTATGTGAAAATAGAAAGGAGATAAAAAATCGTCAAACGTAAAATCATAATCATAACATAAAAAAATAGTAAAAATATAAAAATGTTTGAAATATTGATAAAATATTTTGATTAAAAAAATCATAAAAATATAATAATAAATCAAGATTTTAATTATCACGAGGAGTCTGCCTGCAGCCAACTGTGCTGTGTGTATAACTCTTGGGTTTTTTTTTTTTTTTTTTTTTTTTTGGAACTTATATTTTCTCTTTGTCTATAATCCTTTTGGTTTTTTAGTCTATATTTGGTTTGGGTTTAGATTTTACAGTTTTAAATTTTGATACTTCAACTCTTATTTGTGTGTTTTCTTTTGGGGTTTAGATTTTCTTACATCTCAAGGGATGCACGCAGTGAGGTTAGTGTTATGGATATGAATATCATATTCCAACTACCAACTAGAATATCTAACCAGATATAGAGTCACCAACATCTCAACAACTCTGAACAGCCAAAAGACACAAGATGAGGATCACATCCCAACAGAAAGAGAGTTGAATCCTGTCGCAATTGGGGGAGCTCAAAAGGCCCAAGCCTAGGAAGGTAATCCTATAAATAAGAGCTTAAAGACCCCAGGTAAATTCATTCAATCTATTTACTAATACTGCCCACACTGTGCACACACCCGGTAAATTCATTCAACCTATTTACTAATACTGCCCACACTGTGCACACACCCATCTTTTGGCTATAAGCCTATTGCTTGTGCGCAGTGATTGGGACCTCGGCTATAAGCCTAGTATACAGTTGATATACATTATCTCTGAGCGCATACCATCCGGTATAGCAATACGGTCTATCCAGGACCTAACAGTAGGCGTGAAACGAAAGGTCAGGGGAATACGATAAGACCAAAACCCCGACCTTCGAGCCCAAACGTCATCTCAAATATGGCAAGTCAGGCATGAGCTTGATCATAAGGTCGTAAATGAAAACGGTAACCCGGCCAAGACCTTCAGCTCGATCGCAGACATGATGAAGTCGAAGATCGGATCAAATAATGCTTGAAGGTAGGAAACGAGCTCAGGAAAAATCAGATACGTTAAAGCTCGATTTCACATGCAGAAACCAAGGAAGATCAAGAAGCGTTACGCGAATGGTCTCGGCAAAGGTAATTCCGAGCTAAAACGCAGACTCCAAAGCCTCGAAAGCCCGAGTCCGAGGTAACACAGAATCACCTCGGCATTCCGAGATTCGGAACACCAAGCTGGGGGCAACTGTTATGGATATGAATATCATATCCAACTACCTACTAGAATATCTAACCAGATATAGAGTCACCAACATCTCAACAACTCTGAACAGCCAAAGGGGGCACAAGACGAGGATCACATCCCAACAGAAAGGGAGTTGAATCTTATCGCAATTGGGGGAGCTCAAAAGGCCCAAGCCTAGGAAGGTAATCCTATAAATAAGAGCTTAAAGACCCAGGTAAATTCATTCAACCTATTTACTAATATTGCCCACACTGTGCACACACCCACCATTTGGCTATAAGCCTATTGCTTGTGCGCAGTGATTGGGACCTCGGCTACAAGCCTATTATACAGTTGATATACATTATCTCTGAGCGCATACCATTATAGCAATACGGTCTATCCAGGACCTAACAGTTAGGTTTTTCATGCCAAACCGAATCGAAGAAATAGTTTTATTCTCAAACTGTTTAAGCAAATAGTTTGATTCTTATATTAATTTTTAAAAAAATGTAATTATTTATCATACAATTCGATCTGGTTGATGATTAGTTTCGGCTTATACTATTTTTCCCTAACCAAAACAAGTATTCTGTTATCAAAAAAAAAAAAAAAAAACAAGTATTTAACAATCCAATACATCCCTCAGCGTAACTTGCGGCGTTAACAAGTATATACACTTCTTTCTATAATAATAGTAAAGAATTTATTATTTTTTAAATTATTTGTTCTTTTTGAAAATTTAAAACGTAGTTATTTTTGAATTTTATCTTTCTAATCAAATATGATTTTAATTTTGAAGACACATTAAATTAGAAGTAAAATAGAATTTTATGTTGAATCGAGAATTTTACATTAAACTTGATTATAAAAAATTTAAATAAAAAAGGTTTAAATATAAAAACTTTTCTTTCGAAATAAATTTATAATTAAAATTATTTAAAATGAAATTTATAAATATTTATATGAATTCACGTGAATCATTAATATAAACAAAATCAATAGCGATTATATATGTAGGACTTTTTATTCTTATCTTATATAAATTGAACCCTATGATCATTTAAATAATTATTATTTTAAACTATGATATTTCTATCGAAGAAATAAGAGTCAAGTTTTTTTTGGGTCCCTAATAAAAAATACGATTATCACTTTTGTCTCTTATAAAAAAAAATTATATTAGTCATTTTTAAGGGACTAAATTGATTTTTCATTAAATTTTAGTGAGATCATATTTTCAAAGAATTAAAATTTTAGATCTATTTTAATCCTTAAAAAAAAAATATTTTTTATAAGGAACGAAAGTGAAAATTATATTTTTTTTAGGACTTAAAAAAAAAACCTTTACTCAAAAAATAAACATAGATAGTTGGTTTTTTGTTTTTTTTTTGGAGTTAGATGGTTGGGTTTTTGTTTACGTACATTTCGCATTAATTTTGTCTGATTTGAAAAATCTGAGTTATACGCGGACCTTATTCATCAAGTGCATTTGGACGTGGTGCATCACATGGATGGATGGGTGATGGCAAAGGGTCACGTGACTAACGATTATGCGATTAGAAAAAGTCGTGGCCCCATGTAGCAACGAATCAGACACAACACGATGGCACACTGACACGAACACACACAAACTCTTACCTTATCACTGGGAGAGTGGTGAGTGTTGTGTTATTATTAATTGCAGTAGATAAGTGGAGTGGACCTGTGGTGCGTTTTCTTTTATAAAACTGGTTATGGGCACGACACGACACACTGAATCAGGACTGTGGAACGAGCATCACTTTCCAAAGGTCACACATATTTA